AAAAAAATACATTGATTTACAAATACAAAATTAAAATTATCAGTATAAAATAAAAATATAGGAGGAGAAAGAGAAGGAAGAAGAAGTTGCCCCGGCCAGATCATATGTTTTAACAATTGAAATGATGTTTAAATAAAAAGGTATTTACTGAGGCTTCTTCCTCAAGAGGAAGAGTGTGCCCTTTGTTTATTTAAAGTTCTTATATTCATTTTTAGCAGACACTTTTAGAATGCTGTACAATAATTTAAAACATCAATCATAAAACAGTAATCCACAATAATCATAAACATTCCAGACATAACAGTACGTCGATAATAAATAACAGCAGTACATAGCACGATAACAGACCTATGGCAAACCAGTCATCATATGACTAAAACCCATATAAAATCAAAACCTTCAATTTCTATCAAAACCTTTGTATGGGGCTTTCTCCAGGGTTTGTGTTTCTTTACCTTTCTGTCTATCTATTAGCCAAGCGCAAACTGGCACTGTGGCACTGCTGTATTTTAGGGCTTATCTAAAAGAGGCACTTAAACTGCTGCTTTGTCTTCTCTTTTTGTTTTAGGAGGAAAAAAGGAAACTTTACTCAGGATTTTGTCCAGGGGATTCCATTGCTCTGCATTTCTGTGTATTTTATTAGCCTACCATACAGCAGGACTGTGCTATAACTGCACCATAGCAGATTTACAGCTTCTCAGGATGCTTCTGTTCTGGTTTATTGCCATTTAAAATTTAATACCAAATTTTAAAACCTGCTTAAAAGCTTGGAAGACAAGGGACAATGTTATGAGAAGGCCCCAGAAACTTCCTTGAGGGAGGAAGTAAATGCCTTGTGCAGAAAAGCCTGTCCTGGCATAATATCTGTCAGAGTGATAAAGAGTTGGCCCTTTCTTTGTCCTAAACATTAGCAGAAGTTAGACCATGACCCAGTGGTAGGTCTCTGGGTGATCTGCAGTGGATTAATACTGACTAAATAGCAACAAGTTATTTTTTCACCTCAAATAGGCTGTTGAGGACTCCGTTCTCAGGACCAGAACTGAGTTGAATAAAGGTTGACTCCTAGCAACCCCAGGAGCAAATTCCTGGGCAAAATGGGTGTTCAAAGAGAACCCGTTCTTTAATTTTAAGGTGGCAAACTGCTTCACATTTACCTGGGAGTTAATTCTATTGAACAAAGTGGAACTAATTTACTTCCAAGTAGCTTGGTGGATCATGGGGGTCTAATGAAGCAAGTGATTTTGACCAGTCTGAAGACTCTGTGCTACATTGCTACAGGGGAAATATAAGCAGATATGCTGAGCTCGATCCAGAATGTGGATTTCCAAACAAAGCTCCAAAAGCAGTTTGCCTGCCCTGTGTAGCAATCGGTACACTACTGGGGAAAAGCATTCAAAATATGCCAGAACATGAGCTTTGCCACAGGCATGTTTGGAATGCAGCTCATCATGTAAGCACTGCAACTCCTTGTGGGGAATTTATGAAAAATAGGCAGTATGCAATGTGACACTTCCCTAGGCTGTGTCTGCGCAATGATCTTTCATGCCACACCAGTAGCACTTGCTGATGCATCAAGCTTTTCAGGGAGACCCCTGCTCCCAGCAAGCACTTTTGGGACTGCATTAGAAGTGGTGGTGTTGAACAATTCATGTTGCTGGTAGTGTTGAACTAGATACTGCCTTATACTGATAACTGGGAAAGGGTAAGTTGGGATCCTTTAGGATGAGGTGTTATACTAGATGACTCATTGGTTTACTCCCAAATCGATGTTCCTGATTAGTGATATGAATGAACAGTTGGATGAGAATGCCATAATACGAACATGATCAGAGTGGAAAGAAGAATTACCTGTCATATTCAGTGGGTTCAGGTCGTTGGTTCACAATCATAGATTTATCAAGCAAGGGCGTACTTGGTGGTGTGACTTCAACATCGAGCTCATCATCTGAACTGGCTTCCATCAAAGGCTGCTTCTCTTCACTCTTTTCTCCTTTCTCCTCTTTCTTGGAAATCTTGGTTGGAAATTCTTTGGCTTTGCCATAATTGCCTGGGTGATCAACACATTTCTTTCTTATTGTGTCCATTTAATATTTATAACTGTTTGAAAAACCCTTTGTTTGTTTTTCCTGCCTCACAAAGATTTTTGGAATATGAAAACTTCTGCTCACAATCTTCATACTGCATTACAATCTGTGCTCTGAATACATGCAAAGTTCTTCCAAAACACCTGCATGGGCAGCTAAGAAGCTTTTACTTTTTCAGCTGTTTGAAGAGGAACCATCGGGAAAGGGCTGACAGTGGAGGCCCACTGCAGCCCTTTCCCATTCCATCTTGTGGGGGCTACTCCTTGGGCACTCTTTACAGGAGTATAAACCCACAAACCAGCAGTAAAGCCTACCAGAGCAATCCCATGATGCTGCATGACAGCCATTCTGATTACCTGTAGAAGGAGCTGAAGCACTCGCTCCAGGGTGTGGGAGTCAGTCTAGCCACTATTGTGCAGTGCCTGGCATGGCAAGCAGTAACCGCACATGAGATCATCACAAGGGGAAAATGTGCATAGAAAGGTGTAATGGAGGATGAGAGAGCAGAAGACGTGACAGAGAGGAGGAAAACAGGGATATTTGATAGAAAGTCTTTTAAGTAGTCCTACTTACCTATGGAGACCTCAAACTTCACAGGCTTGGTACCTATCGATGGATCCATCATAGTAACCTCAAAGAAGGAGGCAAAGAGGAGGAATTCTTCCTTCACTCCCAACGCATTCTGGACAGAAAGAAAAGTGAGGTTGTGAAGCCCTAGATTTAATGCTGTCCACTCATTTTCCTGCAAATCATAATTCAGAATACAAGTGTGATTTGTGCTGTCGCATGCTGAACCTCCCTGTTGGGGGAAAGTGCTCATGCAGTGAACCTGTTCCCACAGAATTGGTGGCTGGAAGAGCGCTCCGGCCAGTGGCACAGCCAAAAATGCCTCATCCACACAGTGCCATCTTCAGGGGACAAAGCACACCCAAGACATATATATATATTTACATTTAAAACATTTCTATGCCACCCCCATTGCAACAAAGCCTCGGGGCGGCTCACAAAGAATACATAAAACATACAAAAATAATAATAATATAACAATTAAAAGAAAAAAAGAAAAAAAACAACATTTAAAAACCCCCGGTGCATTCTCGGCTAACAATTTTAAAATCCTAATTAATACAATAATTTAGCAATTAAAATAAGTTTTAAATAAAAAGGTCTTGGCCTGGCACCGAAAAACAAATAACGATGGCGCCAGGCGGACCTCTCTGGGGAGCGCATTCCATTGGTGGGGCGCCACCGCAGAGAAGGCCCTCTTCTGGGTACTCACCCTCCTAATATCTTTCCCGGAGGGTTCCCGGAGAAGGGCCTCTGCTGCCAATCTTAAGGGGCGGGAGGGCATATATGGATGCAAGCGTTCCTTTAGATAACCAGGTCTCAAGCCATTTAGGGCTTTATAGGTGATAATCAACACCTTGAATTGGGCCCAGACTTCAATGGGGAGCCAGTGAAGCTGACAGAGAACTGGGGTTACATGAGAACAACGCCCAGTCCCCATCAGCAACCTGGCAGCTCTGTTTTGCACCAATTGAAGTATACGGACCATCTTCAAGGGTAGCCCCACGTAGAGCGTGTTACAGAAGTCTAATTGGGAAGTTACCAACGCATGTGTCACTGTCGTTAGGCAATCGTTCTCCAGGAAGGGACGGAGCTGATGTATCAGCCGAAGCTGAAGGAAGGCGCCTCCTGCCATCGCTGTCACCTGAGCTTCTAGAGATAGCTCAGGGTCAAGGAGCACTCCTAAGCTGCAAACCCTGTCCCTCAGAGGGAGTGCAACCCCATTTAGGACAAGGCCCAAGTCCCCCTTCCCGAGGCCCGAGCCACCCACCAACAGGACCTCCGTCTTGTCTGGATTGAGCTTCAGTTTATTGGCCCTCATCCAGCCCATTACCTCGGCCAGGCACCGGTTCAGCACAGCCACTGCCTCACCTGGATTGGTGGAAAACGAGAGGTAGAGCTGGGTATCATCAGCGTACTGATGATTCCGCAGCCCACACCTCCTGATGACCTCTCCCAGTGGTTTCATGTAGATGTTAAATAGCAAAGGGGACAATATGGACCCCTGCGGAACTCCATGGCATAACTGCCATGGCGCAGAGCCACAGTCCCCCAGCACCACCTTCTGAAATCGGCCATTGAGATAGGAGCGGAATCACCTCCACGCGGTGCCTCCAACTCCCAATCCCACTAACATATTCAGAAGGATGCCATGGTCGATGGTATCGAAAGCCACTGAGAGGTCCAGGAGAACTAACAGGGACGCACTCCCTCTGTCTCTCTACCTGCACAGGTCATCGTACAGGGCGACCAAGGCAGATTCAGTGCCATACCCGGGTCTGAAGCCAGACTTAAATTGGTCTAGATAATCAGTTTCATCCAAGAGTGCTTGGAGTTGTCCCGCCACCACCCGCTCTAGCACCTTGCCCAGGAACAGGATGTTGGGCACCGGTCTATAATTGACGGCCACCTCTGGATCCAGGGATGCCTTCTTTAGGACTGGTCGGACTACCGCCTCCTTTAAAGGGGCAGGTAACCGGCCGTCTCTTAAAGAGGCGTTGACCACCTCCAGGATCCAGATCCCAATGCCATCCTTGGCTTTCTTAAGTAGCCAAGATGGGCATGGGTCTAGTAAGCAAGTGGTAGGACGTACTTGTCCAAGCACCTTGTCCACATCATCAGGCCGCAACAACTGAAATTCATCCATTAATTGTGGACTCGACTGTGTCGATGTCGTCTCCCCAGTAGAATCTGATTCAATAGCAGAGTCAAGCTCATGATGAATCTGAGCGATTTTCTCCCTGAAATGCTTGGCAAAGTCGTCACAGCGGGCCTTCGAGGGTGGCACAAGAACTTTCTTCAGGCCCGGATGTATCAGCCCCTGCACCACCCGAAAAAGCTCCGCCGGATGGCATTGTGAGGAGGCAATGCAAACAGAGAAGAATTTCTTCTTCGCCGTCCTCACCGCCACAGCATAGGCCTGATAATGGGCTCTCAAGTGTGTTCGGTCAGAATCACCCCGTGATCTCCTCCACTTACGCTCTAGACGTCTCCCAACCTGCTTCATCGCCTGTAATTCAGATGTATACCAAGGAGATGAACGGGCTCTGCCAGGTGGGAGAGGACGCTTGGGAGTGATCGTTTCAATAGCCCTGGTCATCTCCTCATTCCACAGTTCAACCAGGGCATCAACAGGATCACCAGCCTTGTCAACCGGAAAATCCCCCAGAGCTTCCAGGAATCCATCAGGATCCATCCGGCTCCGAGGGCGGACCAATACAATCGGGCCCGTACCCTCACAGAGGGAAAGGCCACTCTTGAGCTCAAACCTTATGAGGAAGTGATCTGACCATGACAAGGGCGTCAAGCTTAAATTCCTCACCCTCAGACCACCCTCATCCTGCCCCATGGAAAAAACCAGGTCCAGAATGTGTCCACGTTCATGGGTTGGGCCAATGACGTGTTGAGACAGCGCCATGGAGGCCATGACGTCCTGAGCCGCCCCGGTTAGAACCGTCTCGGCATGGAGACTGAAGTCCCCCAGGACCAAATATAGGCAGGCATCCATCCTAATACCTGAGTGGTTCTGCTTGGTTTGTGTTTTGCATGTTAGCACAGTGTAGATATCATCCTGAGAAAGGGGCCTGAACGTTTGATTTGGATGGAAAGAAGAAAAGGGGTTGTGTGCTAGATCAGCCTTTCCCAGCCCAGTGCCCTCGTGCAACAAGGTGCTTTAACTCTTTCCAGTTTCTGTGACTGTCTAATGATAAGACTCACCTCTGGGAGAGGATGGAGTTCCTCTACCTCCACAGTCACCTCACTGGGTTGCTCAGCTTCCTCGGAGGCACCAACTTCAACTTGACTTTGGTGGTGCTCTTTGACAGAAGCTTTGGATTTCTCCTTGGCCTTCTTACTCTTCTTCTTCAGCTTGAGCTTGCTTAGGGCACCTTTGAGAACTTCCACAGGCTTTTTCTCTGCTGCTTGGATGGTGGTGAAAATCTCCACGCTAATGGCCATGAGAAGGCGGCCACGATAGAATATGCCTTCACCCAGACCTTCATTGAGAACTTTATGTACATCCCGCAAGGCTGAATTCTGGGGTGAACCATATAAATTCACCCAAGTTGGGCCAAAGGTGGGATTAAATCCTGTGGAAAAAGGCATATTTCCAAATTGATTGAAATGAAGTTTGGAATTATCCACACACACACACACACACACACACACGAACAGTGCAGAGTTCCTTGATGTTCCTTGTTCACAGATATTAGCCTGCTGAAACTGCATAGAAGTGAACATGAACACTTCCCTTGAAGCAGGTGCCTATTCATACCAAAAGATTCCCTCCTTGCTATGCTTTGCCATACACAGAGGTATGGTGATATATATGCACACACAGTCAATTGAGGAATATTCATCTGTACTATAGTAAAACAAAAATATATTTATTTGTATTTGAAGATCTACTTCAGGGCCTTTTTTCAAGTACTCACCATTAAGTTCACACAAGAGGCAGAACCTTGCTGATGGTGGTCTAACACTGTGGAGCCCACTTCATACTGATGTTTGCCTGGTCCCTTTGTAAAGATGCTTAGGCAAGCATTAAAGAGCTTTCTGTATAAAGCTGTGTTCAACTGACTTGGCATGTGCGTTTAGAGCAGCTTCGCAAAATTCTGATTGCTTGCTACTGCGGCTCTTACATCTGCCTGGACTGTTTGTGTATACCCTGCTATGCAAGGCAGACCCCCCGCAAATGTCTTCAAAAGAATTAAAATAAATAACCCACACATAGGGAATGGGTGAAGACCATTCGACTGAACATCAGTTGAAAACAGTGAAGGACCCACCATTTCTTCCAGGATCAGATATTTGTTGCAAATCAATGAAGTGTGTGGCAAGCGCAACATCACCAATGTTTGCATCATCCAACAATTGGACTTTAATTTTTCTGACAAGTGGAGGAAACATCTCAATGAAACTGATCTGTTCATTCCATATTGGTTCTGTGGTTCCACTTTCAACTGATGTTTCTCCCTAAACCAGAAAAAGACATGAATATTACACAAAGAAAAACAGGAAAAGATCCTAGTTAAAGCAAACAACAGAGATTGCAAGTAAAGGGACAGTGCAGATTCTCTCAACTGCACTGTTGTCAGATTCTAATGTTTATTGTGCTTGCAAGTCTCCCGGACCATCATATTCTTTCTCAGTTTGCTAAATTGCTACTAGTAGATAAATGGGGAAAGATGTGTGGGAACAAGACAAAGGTGTTGGTTGAAAAACGTTATAGAATGTGTTGGAGGGAATACAATATGACTATTCAGAGTGGCCATATCTAAAGACTGTTTGGCTCTGGTGATGTCTAGGTAGGCAAGGGACAAGAGGAAGGTTGCCATAGTTTAAAAACAGAATCTAAGAGGGAGAATATGATAAAGGTTTATAAAATTATGAATTTATCCCCTCTCATAATACCAACATTTGTATCACCAAGTGAAGTTGATTTGAAATTGGTTCTAGACAGACAAAAGTAAGCATTCTTCACACTGTACAATTGAATTCAAGAACACAAAATGGAACATGAGAGCCTAAGAAAGCTCTTGCTGGATCAAGCCAAACCCTGAATGGTTCAACATCCTGTTTCCCCACAATGGCCAATTTCATGTACTCAGTACATGCCTTTCTTTTTTCTGATACATTAGAAAAACGGTTATTCACATTTAATAGACTGGACTGTTGTATAATTTCAAAGAATTCAGTTGGCCAGGCTTAAGCTTACCTGCTGTCCAGAAAAAGCAATTTGCACATATGGATCAATGAAGACTTTCTTCTCACCCACAATCTTTGAAAAGCCACCCATGATTCCTTCACTCATGCTGGGCAAACCCTCTGCCTTGTAAATTTTGATGCAGAATTTGGCCCAGGGCCTCTCTGCTGGAATTCTTTTAGGCAGCAGCAAGTTCCTAAAAGAATGAAATTTGAGTGGTAAATGGGACAAACAAACAAAGGGACAACCAAACCTGAAGAGCAAAAGGTGCGGAAAAAAATGAGATTGAATCAGAACAGCGGCTCATTCTATCTGTGCTCCAATCCTGATCTAACGCTGGGCAGAGGTGCACAACTAGCAAGAAGGATGTAACGGAGAAATCACTCTAATCCTAAAAAGAGAAGTCCCTTTTTTCATCTGTTTGACTTATTATGTTGCCATACCACTTCTAACTAGGATCAAGAGTTTATCTTACCTCTGGGAACACTCAGATTTAAATCCACAGATTTAAGATGTGAGAACTCGAGTCACCATCAGCTTAGAAGTATTGAAAAAGTTCAGAAAAAATGCATCAAATGAAAGTATTTCTAGACAGAGACATCCTAATGTTACCAATGAAAAGACATTGTGCAGCTATTCCATCTTCCCTTCCTTAATGAAAAAAATGGAAGAAGTGGTAGGAAGACACCTTCATCTGAATGACCTGAGACAAGGTGATTTCACAAAAAAGCCTCTTCCAGAAGCACTATGAGACATTAGGTATGACAATACCTCATAATACACACCCTAAGAAAGTTAATATTTTATCTGCACTGAACCAAGATCTTGGGAATTGTATTTTTCATTTATATAACATTTTTCCTGAAAATAAAATATAGCATGGGGGGTGTTTTCACCATCACCAACATCCCTGGTCACTGAACATGCAGAGGAGCTTTTAGGCTGTTCAAAGATCGTCAAGCCTTGGCCACAGATGGTGGTGCCTGCAGCCACATTAATATCCTTCACTCAAACACCTATATGCAGAAACTAGAGATATAAATATATTGAAAAAAGAAAGCAACCAGTAGGAATAAATGTCTGGAGAAAGTGAGCCAGTTCACATGAGAGCCCATCAAGGGTTAATTTACACATGAGGAGCTGAGGCTGGTGCCAGCTATTATGAATGTGCAATGCCCAACTGGGTGATACCATGCAAATCCAGACAGCAGAAGTTACTTGAGGGTGATACTGCAGTTACATAATCTTACAATAGACCATGAGGGTTGTTTAACCCTCAGATAATCCCAGTTGGCCAGGCTTGCATGGCACAAGTGTGGTCAGATGAGCCAGGAGTCAGGAAGGTGAGGGAAACAGGTACCTTGAGGGCTAGAGCAAGGCAGGAGCACAGCTGGAAGAACTGGAACAAGACTAGAGCAAGATTGAAGCAGGGCTGGAGCACAACTGGAGGAACTGGAGCAGGACTGAAGCAAGACTGGAGCAAGATCAGAACAGAGCTGGAGCAAGGCTGGGGCAACTGGAGCAAGGCTGCAGCAGAACTGGAACACGGCTGGGGCAAACTGGAGCAGAGCTCAGGGACACAGGGGCCAGAGCACAAAGGGCCACAGAGCAACAGAGAGTTCAACAAGTCAAGAAACCTTCATTGTTGAGGCAGCTTCTAGAGCGAAGAGCCAGTGCTTGTAAGGCGCTCCCCTCCCCCCCCCCCCAGGTGCCACTTGTAAGGCCCTGATAGCTGCAGTAGGTTGTGGGTCCAATCCTGCAACTACCAGGGCTATTATTCAGGCCTTTGTCCAGCAGAGGGAGCCCTGAGCTTCCTAGGATCCTGACATCAAGCCTCTAATTCAGGAGTCCTCAAACTTTTTCACCAGGGGGTTAGGTGAAAGGTGCCGGAAAGGTACTGGCTGGAAAGGTGGTGCTGGCTGGGCCTGCGGGCTGGTGTGGGAGTGGGGGCATGGTGTGGGGTGCATGTGCTTAGACAGGGGGCAGGGAGTGCTGGCGCGGCGAGGCATGGGCAGGCAGGCGCACGCGGCAAGGGGAGGGGAGGCAAGGCAGGGGCGGGCACGTGCTGTGACGTGTCGTTTTCTCTGAGCAAGTCCAAAACGATCTCCTTGCAAGCAAGCCGCCGCCTCCCTGTGCAGGGATGGGGGTGAGGCAGACAGCGGCAGGCAGCGGCAGGAGCGCGTGCCGTGCATGTGGTGCGCAGGTGCGCATGCGGCACATTGAAAACCTCTGAGGCAGGCCGGATAATTGGCCATGGCGGACCAGATCCAGCCCCCGGGCCGTAGTTTGAGGACCCATGCTCTAATTGCTTGTGGAAGTGAGGAGAGCATAAGATTGTTATGCAATATCTTCCCAGTCCCATGGGAGAATATGCCTCCCTAAGGGAAGGGTTGTAAGCTTTGCATGCATGGAGTCTCAGATTCAATCTCCAACATCTCCAAGTAGGGTTGGAAAAACTGCCTTGAGATGGGCAAGATTAGGAGAGAGCAACTTGAGGCCCTCCCATGATCCTGCACCATTGGCTATGCTGTCCAGGGCTGAGGCAAGTTGTAGGGCAATGGCCTGGGGAGCTACAGATTGCCCACCCCTTGGCTACACAGACCAGTGATCTGATTCATTATAAGGCACTCTCCTATGTTCTTCCCTTCATGCAGCTAAGTAATTTCATGGGTTTCATGGTCTGACAGGGCATGTACATTACTTCAGTTTTGAAGCACACCATTAACAATTATTCTTCTCTACCAGCCCTGCTCCACCATTCATGTTAAGTTAGAAAGAAAGAAAAACTGTTTGGCAGGCCTGCTTAGAAAGAATGAAAAGAAACCTTTGAGCATGTACATTATGCATTTTAAACTCACTTAAATCATAGCATCATAATTACTACCTGAAGAAACTAGAATTTCTCCTAGCGTCCCAATACTGAACATATTTACTTAAGAAGAAGCATTTTGTTGTAGAAAGGAATTCTGCAGTTTAAAAGGCACAAAAAGAGGGAATATCTGTAGCCATGTACATGTGCAGCCACTCACCTACAGAGTCATATATGTGTGTGTGTGTGTGCATGCACATGTTTGTGTGTGTGTTAAACAAGAATAAAGAAAAGATGCTGCAGGAACCAGCATCAGCCCATGAAGAGAGCTGGCATGGCCATATCAACCCAGGTGCTGACGCTATTGTCACCCTCATCTGCTGCTGTCTAGGTGGTCTTGGGGGCCCCAGGCCCTGGACTTTGGCCCTGCAGTCTGCATTACTGCAGCCCTACAAACCACATATTTCCCCATACCACAGACTTACTTTTCAATGTCTTCATTTTGATTGCTGGAAGCAGTGGGAAGAGAACTCGGGACATCTCCCCGTGCAAGTACAGAAATGTTGCACTTCACAAAGCCTTTTACTCCAGCTCGGGTGTCCTTTGGGTCATTAATCACAGCCCACTTCTGGTAGAATCTGTGGTCTAAAGACATAAAGAGAGAATAACTAATTCACAGTTTTCTTAGGTTTGATTCACTGCCCTAAAAATTCAAAGCTCTGGAGCCCATCATTGAGGTGGAAGAATAGCCAGTAGAGTTGCATCACCATCAGACAACAGAAGGACAAATCTTTAGCAAGCATAATCAGTGTTGGCCCCTGAAGCCCACAGAGTTTTGCAGATTGACACAGTGAATATGAACATGTATTGCCATACTGGCAAAAATGTCAGCCTAGACGGTTCACTTTCCCTGCCCAGCCATTGGGTAGAGTGAGACAGCTGCCACAGACAGCTAATTTTGGATGTCCTGAAAGGACAGCAAATGATTAGCTATTCATTCCTCCAGAGGGACAAAGGTACTTATGGGATTTTCTGCCTTAGATACCCAAATAATTTGATCAGTATTATGAAACTTGACTTGTAAGGTGGAGAACAGCATTTGCTATTCCATTTCAGGCAACAAAATACTTCAGTGTCATCTTTGAGAATATGACTCAAACCATCCCTGGAAAAGATTGACAAAATGGGGCTAAATTTATTCCAGTTAAAAACTTGACTAGAACACTGTCCTGGAAGGATCAGGATCCTGGGTGCTGGGGAAAGCTCAATTTTATTTTTTATTACTTGACAGTGGACATAGAGGAACAAGTCTGAAAGAGGTTCAGGAACTCCAGATTCAATTCATTTGCAAAGGGAGCCCATGTTACAGCCTCAGAGTAAATAATGCAGAGGAGCAAGGAGGGGAATTGAGAGGCCACGCTTAGCATCAGGAGCTTCCAAATACTGTACCTGGCTGGCTGTAAACAGTCTCTAGATCAATCTTGAATGTCCCAATGAGTGTACCTAGGAATGGGATCTTCTTTGAATGAAAGACCTGTGCAGTAATACAAACCACCTTCTCAGTGTTGAATGACATGGGTATCAAAAGGTGAGCAGAATTGGATCATTGCCATTAACAAGGATGAGTCCTTCAAAAGGATATGAGGAGGCCAAAAATGACAACATCAATCATAACATACAGAATTAGATACTTGTAATTGTTGTGTGATTGGCTCATTTCGGTCCACTTGTCTGAAAGTGTGCAATAGTGGCTACTATACTTACAGAAATCTCTATGAGTCTGTGGAATAAAACATCTCTTGGCTCATGGAATTCAAATGTAAAATACTGGAAGAGAAAAGGGAGAACGGTGAGCAGTGGGCTCCCAGAGTGAAATCCTGTTCCTCATGACACATGAGGTGCTTTCCCTGAACAGCTATGTGCATGGAGGAGCTCCTAGCCTGCTGCTAAATTTCTACCTTGGAAGCCACTTCCGTGTAGGATTGAAAGGCCAGCCTAGATGTTGATCATCGTGGGTGATGATCCTGCACACATGACATCCACCTCATGTGCTATATGGCATAGCATCTTCTCCCCGAAAGCACACAGAACAATATGCTGGATATCCAGCTGAGTTATAAATGGTCAGCATGGTAATTCGGCAGATTTGATAAAGCATGAAATAGCCCTAGCCAGGATGAATCCTCTGCAATTCAGAGAAGCTTGCAGCCTTCCCCATGCAGTCCAGTTGGCTAATTTCGTTCACGTACCTCATTGTAAAAAGGGCAATTGGTTGACTTCTGTGTTGCAGTGTGTCGCTTCTCATCTCCAATTTTCACTACCACATAAGGGTCAATGTTCACCCCCACTAGTTTCTGGGCTTCAATTATGTTGATGCCAATCTGTAGAGACAATACATTTTCTAGGATCAATCTGTAAGTTTGGTGATTATGGAAGAAATGATTAAACTTAGCAGTGATCTCAGAGACTCACAAGCATCCACTGCAGAGCAGGGAGAGTGGCCAAGGTAACCTCCTTGTATCCCGGTAGCTGCAGCCTTCCAACTCTGAGAGACCCCAGTGCAGTTCTTTCCCCACCAGATGTGATGGGGTAAGGCAGATAGGACTATGGATTCCTAACTCTGAGGTCAGGGCTATGTCTCTGGCTCTGAGGTCAGGGCTATGGGAATCCAGATTATCCTAGGGCCTCTCAGATTATTCCTAGGGCCATAGGTTCACTGGCTAAGAGAAATGAGAAGGTAGCCACACTGCTTGCTTCAATAGCTTTGATGCCACATCTCCAACCTTCTCTTTTTCAGAGGTTACTGGTACATCAGGGCTCCAGGGATTTCCTTTTTCCTGAATTAGAGTCTTGGAGCACTGATGGATAGAGACTAAAAATCTGATAAGAAATTGTTAACTGGGGGATTGTTCTGAAAAACTGGCTTTCCCAGAAATCATACAGTAACCTGGACATTCCCTTAAATGGTTTACAGGAAGATTGGCAAGTAATTACCTGGATGTTTTGTGGTCTAGGAGCAGCATGCAAGTCTGATTTGGAGAAGACTTTAGAACGGCTGACATGGAAATAAGGAACACAAATAATTTAGCAATGTCATTTTCTTTCAAATATTATTTTATTTTTGGAATGCAACTTGCCTTGCCATATACATAAAAATGAATCCTCAAGGGTGAATGGTTCTCATATAAATTCTCATAAAATAATACTATTACTTTATAATATTATAATAGTATTAATTTATAATATAATAGTAGTATTGTTATATTATATAAATCTCATATAATAATATAAATTCTCACAAAAACAAAGAATGGAGACTCCAAAATGCCTCTGCATTTACTCTTTTCCTTATGAAAGACCTGGAACTGCAGCTTGTGGCAAAGGAAGTTGATGTGGCTAAAGGGAAGATTTTGCAACTGATGCTAAGAACATTTTTAGTCTGGAATGTATGCTTTGTTGACACCATTTAAATGAAAAGGACAATGAAGGAAAATGAAAATTTAATTTGAAAGTTAATCTAGTGCTTTGCTTCAATAAGAAATGTGGGGTATAAATATATAAAATTTTAAATAATGAATTAAATAAGGTCTCCTTTTGGATTTACATTCAGATTATAGCTGCAGGATGTGCCAAAGTTAAATGCAGCAGGAGTGCAGAACCTCTTTCAGCAAGGACAGAATTCCGTTTTGGAGAAGACTTCAGGGCCGCATTCCACTGCCAGGTGAGACTGAAAGCAAAAGGGGTGTGCACCCCCCCCCCCAAAAAACCTTACCGAGTATCTAAGAAGAGGCATTTCCATCTTTTCAGAAAATCCATGAAGCCACCAAATGATTGGTGGTGGGGGGAAGGAGGTGGAGCCTTGGAAAGGGCCGTGGCCATCCAGGGAGCTCCAAAGAGCCAGATCAGAACTGCTGGAGTCCTGTATTAAGTCCAAGAAATTGAGGTTCTGCACCCCTGGGTCAAACTGTTAGATTGTGGGTATCTCGTTCAAAACTCTTTTTACACCAGAGCTCACTGAGCAACCATGTCTCTTGCCTACCTAAAAGAATTGCGGGAATAAATGTGTGAGGATGCTGTATATTGGTAGCCTAAGCTCCGTGGGGGAAGAACACGATTACTTACTCATAGTAAGACACAGACTTTTGTTTTCTGCTGCTTGTATGACAATAATTTTAGACTGTGCTAATCTGTTACTACTGCAAGCAGCAGGACATTGGACTGACCACAAAACTTAGCAAGAGAAACATTGCAAAAACGAGGAGTTTATAAAAGCCAGCGAGGTCCTCCAAGGATGCTATTCTTGAAAGGCTCTCAGAATACCTCTTGTGCATGATGTGCTACAGCCACACAGGCAACAACACCTCCCACCCATACAGCATGTGCACATCCCAATCTGAGCTACGCTGCTTTTGGGACAAGGCATCCAAGGGCTGCTCTGGGAAGTGCCGAGCAAGCCAGGACTGTGCAAAAGGGCAGCTTCATGTACCAAAGGGAGCTAGTCGGAAAGGTACCTCTTCACAGGGCTGAAGACGATGCCCGAGAACTCCATGTCAGACACGTCATAATAATCATCTTCCTCATCAGTCTCCAAGCCTTTCACAAGTTTCCTACCAAGCATGGCAGCCTTCCTGTCCAGATCAGCCGCTCGCTTCACATCAGCAGCTCTGCAACACCCAAATGTTCTTGTTACACCAAAGGGAAGTGGCAGACACACAAGTCACACTGTGGCATCATTGTCTTCTCATAGCCACTGAAGTTTTCAGATCTTCCCTTCCCCATATTTTAAAAGAGGTGGATGCTTATCATTGAACATGATCAGCGGCACTGCATATGTTCTTCTTTCTCCTTTATTACTGTTTGAATTATTAGTATTGTTATCTCATCATCACAGTGCAACCAGAGTTAATATTTTTAGGTTGCACTAGTATACTGCAACAGGGAGGGCAACATGCAGTCCTGTTGTCTTTTGCATCACCTGCCACTGCACTGCAGGAATTGTGTCTATGGCAAAGTGCAGCAGCAGCAGCAAAAAAAAAAAAAAAAAAAAAAAATCACCACTTTTCTGCCCAGATTTGATGGCAAAGTGCTATAGCTCCTTTAAAAGTTAGCTGGCTTTCAAGCTGTGTCCTTCCTTCAGGACCTGTAATGGTTTGCTGATGAACGTGGATGGTACACAGAAACGTGGAGTTACTGCTGCCACACCACCAAATTTTAGCAGCAGAGTGGCACCAGCAGAGTACTGCACAGTGGCCCACAGACACCATGAAGCTGCTTCCTCAGAGCAAGTCTCATTGGACTCCTTGGGATTTACTTCACTGCAAGGACTGCATTGAAAAACACTGGTTTTAGTGTAAGATGTTTAAGAGATATGCACTTTTTTTTCTCCCACTGAAACCAACAGGAAGTGGATCACTGTAGACAATATATTAACAGTACAATCCAATATCTCTCTCTTCAGAATTAACCTTCACTGAATTCAATGGGGCTTGCTCCCAGGTAAGTTTGTGTATGACTGCAGCTTTATCTTGCTTCAGAGGAGAGAAGAGGAGAGGTTAAACCAAGTATAAACACTATGCACAATATGCAAGCAATTTAAAGCAACCCATCATTGAAACAACAGAACAGGATATCCAGAGGAAAGAAAGAGAAAGCTACCCCTGTTTCCTTCCACTGAAGCCCTGTTAAATGTGTAGTCACCAATGCTGCACCGTTGAACTCTGGTATCCCAGGCTGCACCAACGCCAAAGCAGTTGAATTCGTTCCTACCCACTTATTTCCAAGAGCAACCATTTGTAACACCAGATAGTAAGATGAAAATAAAACAGGGCACTTACTCCAGCTCCTCAAATCCAGGGTTGCGGATTATAATTTCGGAACTGTAGTAAACAGAAATAAAATATAAATAATGTAAAACAATGCTGGTTGTGGAAAGCAATTCTCTACCCAGTTTTCTCTTACTGTCACTATTAACTTTACCTGGTTCCTTTTTCTGAGATGATGAAATTGACTGGAACTAGAACTATAACTTGGATTATGTAGAACCATGGTTCTCTAAACACACACACCACAATTCATATTGTGCTAAAAGATGGGAAGACCACATGACAATCATTTAAATGCAATGGCTTTGCATTTCCATTGTCTGGGTTGCCTGTGTGCTTCCTTCTAGACTTTAGGATCCTGAGAGCACAAGAACAGCCATGTTGGCTCAGGCTAATGGTTCATCCAGTCCAACACTCCATTCACACAGTGGCAAATCATCTGCCCAAAGGATTCCTCAAACTGAATCAATTCAAAGAGTTCCCTCTACCAAAGCTTTTCGGCAACTGGTACATGTAGGCAAGCCGCTTCTGATAAAAGAAGTAGCATGTAACTGGTATGGCTTGCAGCCATTGACACCTCTATTCTTGTCCAGCCCCTTTGAAAGCCATCCAGATTGGTGGCCATCATTACTTCCTATGGCAGTGAATTCCACAGTTTAATTATGTGCTCTGTGAAAAAGTGCTTCCTTTTATCTGTCCTGAATTCCACACCAATGAGTTTCATGGGGTGACCCTGTGCTCTAATATAGTGGGAGAGAGAGAAAAATGTCTCCCTTTCCACCTTCTCCACACCATGCACACTTTTAGCCACCTTTACCATGTCTCTCCTTACTTGCCTTTTTCCTAAGCGAAACTATCCCAGGTTGCTCTGTTTTGCATAGAGGGATTGCCACAACCGCTTCATCAATTTAGTTGCCTTCTCTGGACTTTTTCCAACTCAGTAATATCCTTTTGCAGGTATAACAACCAGAATGGTACGCAATATTGTAAGTGCAGTTATTCCAAAGATTGGTATAAGGGAAATATGATCTCAACAGTTTTATTTTCAATTCTATTCCTAAATATGTCCAATATGGAGCTTGCCTTTTTCACAGCAGCTACACAATCTATCAACATTTTCATCAAACTGTCCACCAGCACTACATTACATTACATTACATTACGCTTGCTGATATTGAACTGCATTTGTCATTTTGATTCTCATTCTCCCAGCTTAGAGTGCTCCTCACACTCCCTTTTGGCCTCAATCACTCTCAACAATTTGGCGCCATCAGCAAACTTTGCCACTTCACTGTTCACTCCTAATTCCAGATCATTTATGAATAGTTTGAAAAGTATTGGTCCTAGTACAGAATCCTATGGGATCCTACTGTTTACATCTCTCCATTGGAGAAATATTGCCATTCATTCCCAGTCTCTGCTTTCAGTTTTTTAGCCAGTTATTGATCCATAAGAAGATGTTTCCCCACTTTATTCCATGACTGCCAAGTTTGCTCAGGAATCTTTGGTGAGGGACTTTGTCAAAAGCCTTTTGGACATTCAAATAAACAATGAAAAATGGTCTCATCCTTATGCTTATTGACACTATCAAAGTACTCCAATAGCCTGGAAAGACAGCACCTACTTTGTGGAAGTCACGTTGATTCTTTTTCAGCAGAAATTTTCCTACAATATGCCTACAGATTCTGTCTTGAATCATACTTTCTACCAATTTACCCTGAACAGATGTTAAGCTAACTGGCCTGGAATCTAGAACACCATCATTTAGGACATCAATACATTTAATGTTTCTGTCAGAATTGGACCCAGATATTGTTACCTGCAGTGCTTCTGTTGAGGTATCTGTGCATTTTAGATTAACAAGCCTGCTGGAGTGTATGCTTTCTTTGACATACAGGGCAACAGCTCCTCCTCCGATACAACCTTCCCTGTTCTTCCTATGTAGTGTATATCCAGAGATGACCATAACCCATTGGTTTCCTCCATTCTGTCAAGTTTCTGTAATGCCCACTGGCTTCTGCTTTAAAACCAAGCACTCCAGGTCTCCCATTTGTGCTCTGAGGCCTCTGGCATTTGTATAAAAACAGCCAAACATAGCATCTCTCTACAGACACATACAACTTAATTTTTTACACTTAGGCTTTTCTCACTGATTATCATGAGTTCTTATAAGCTTTGTGGTTTATTTCCTCCCTTCCTATATTTGGGCAATAAGAAACTTCTTTCCTCTTAATCCTCTAGAGACAATTTAATCTGAACTAGATGCTTCCCAGTTAGGTTTGTTAGGTTTCCCCCAGAATTCATTTTAAAAGCTGCTCTGCCACCATTTCATGTTACGTGCCAGTCATCTGGTTCCATTCTAGTTCAAGTGGAGACTGCCCTTCCTGTACAGGCCTGGCTTGTTTCAGAATGTCCCTAGCACCTTACAAATCTGAACTGCTCCTCTCTACCCCACCGACTCTCCCATGCTTTGAGGCTCCTCAGCTGTGCTGTGCTAGCTGGCCCTGCACATGAAACAGGTAGAATTACAGAGAAGGCCACCTCAGCAGTCCTGGATTTCAACCTTTGTCCTGTCAACCTAAACTTGGCTTCCAAGACCTCACAGCTACATTTTCCTATGTCATGGGTACCAACATCAGTCGCAATCACTGACTCCACCACCACACTATCTACAAGGCAATCTAGATAGCACATTATATCTGTAACCCTCAGACCAGGCAGTCAATTCACCAGGCAGTCAGTGGTGCAGCTAGGTCTGGACCCGGGGGCCAAAGCCCAGAGCTCTGCAGCCAAGGGGACCCCTTGCTATCCATCCACGGATGTGCACTCTTTTGTGCTATTATTTTGCTATTACAACATGTTATTATGTTATTATATATTATTGTGTTGTTACAACTTGGTGCTATTATTCTGCTGACTTCAAAATGCAAATGTGCACATGCTCAGGCTATTTGTGCACATTTTTGCAAACTATTTGTGTTCTAACATATTAGGAACCTAAAAGCAATATTACATCATGGAATGTTGGTTGGACTGGGTGGTGGGGAGAGAGCTGCTAGATGTCTGTTTCACAACACAAGTAAGGCAGATGGCCATATTCCCCCACCCTCACCAGTACAACCACTAAGTCCAGGATGTAAAACTACCTAGCTGCACCACTGCTGTTAGCAAACCAAGACATTAATTTTCTTATAGCATATTTCTCATTACCTGTCTTTCATCTGGTAGACAAAATCTTCCTCAACCCATGTTCCTGCAGCACCATCAGGAGGCTGGTATCGCAGATCTAGTTCAATATATATCTATGTAGGAAAAAGCGGAGCTTAGGAAGGCCACAGCTCTTATGAAAAACTGCCTTGAGAGGGTTCCTTTCACTGACAGGTAGGAAAAGAACCCAATTACTAAAATATATGCAAACATGCATACCTATGACATAGAAACAGGAGAGAAGATCATTAACAGAAAGCAAAAACAGGTCAAAAAGGTGGGTAAAACTAGTGGAGGCTCTTTGGGACCACACTTCTGGAGCTCCATGCTGCTTGGCTACATCTTAAGATGTTCGAGAGACATTGTTATTTGGCTGAGTTACAACAGGGAGATCCAGCTGATACAAACAGATTGGTACATGGTACAAGGCCCATGAACTGTACCATTTTTACTTGCAGATGTACCTATGAAGAAAAAAGTTCATGTGCTGAAAACTAAAAAGTCAGGGGGAAGGCTGGGCTGTACTCTTTCTCTTGGATCTGGATATTTAGTTTTCAATGTATGGGGTTTTTTAATATTGGACATACAGGGTTCAGCGATATGATTTCCCATTCCCAGCCTAAGTGACACAATTATGACATGCTCCCCTATTTGTGTCCATCATCTATGGAAACATACATTGAGCAGCTAGACAAGCACTAGATAAACATTGAGACTTTCCAGGATTTATCATACTGAATGTCTAATATTTCAGCCTAATCCAACTCACAGGACTATTCTGAACTTCAAGTGTGGCACAAGAACATTGTTCTGTGCCTCCTGAAGATAGGGTGGAATTAAAAGAAGTAATAAGGGAACAGACCCATGCCTCTACTCAGCTTCTGAGCAACCACGGGAAAGTTCAGATTCCTCAGTCCAAGGATCCAAGACAAGGCTTCACCCTCAGAGCTGGGAAATGGGCTTCCAATCCTGCTTACCTAATAAATTCATTAGCTGCTCTTCAAAGTGGGGAAAGAGACCTTGGAGAGGGAGAAAAGTAGGGAGGAGGTGAGAGGAGCCAGGATACAAACAATCCCACAGCCTCTCCAGCCTCCTTTGTTCTTCCTCTGAAACACCACAGTTGGATGGGTGAAAAAGATTGCCTGGCAGAAAATGCAGGGCAGGAGGATGGGGGAGGAAGTACCATTCTTCTCACTCTGCATAGGATGGCCATATTGTTAACCTACACTGTGGCAGGATTAATAATAATGGACCTGTTGTCAGTGAAAACCAGGCTGTAGGTGCGTTCTTAATAGGGGACCTTAGCTCATAAGGGAGGCTCTTCCAAACTGATGTTTGACCTCTAACCAGGAGAGAAGAAACTTAAACACAGATTTCATTCGGAAATGAACCAGCTCTATCAAGTGAGTTATTGCCTTGAAGGGCCTGCCTGTGGTCTCAAGTGCCCCTTTACTAGTGTTTTTTAAGTAACCAAGCATTTTTATGCCAATAGCCAAATTGCTTACTCCTGTGATGCTGTGATTTTTGTCAACAAGAGCCTCTCTGATATTTAGCCGTCCAGATGTTACCAAGTGCTGAAGGCTGATAACCAAGGTACCAAGTAATCTACAAGAAAACAAGAAGCAGAGATGGACTAGAGTAATAGAATACACTAGGAGATTAAAGAAGGATGATACATGAGTACAGACATCGAAGTGTAAGCTGATATCTTGCACATTTCAAAAGCTAAGAAAACCTGTCTTACTTAAGAACGAACATAATATCCTGTGGATGCACATGTGATTGTTAGGATGCCCTGGTATCAGCCAAGAGATTGTTAAACTACCTTTAACAGGCCCAGGGCAACTGAAGTTCCTGTACAGCTGTTCCTCCAATCCTTTTGCCCACCTCTTCCCACATGGTTCTCATGCTGGCTGGTTTGGAAAGTATAAAAATATACAGGTCCAAGTGTTTACTGAGTCCCTTTGGGTCTCACAATCTGGAGGGAAAGGGGTTAGAGTACCTCCTGAGTCCTCCTCCTCCTTTCCATAGTATTACCATCCTTTCTGCTGGTATATACAAACAGAAGAGAGATACATACCACCTTAATGGATCAGTTACTCCCACAAGATCTGGTTGCCTGGCAACCACTTGTCCACTCCTGCTTAGTGGTGATGTTTATCACAAGTTCAGCCAGCACCTACATACCTGCCTTTGCAACTTTGATAACTATTGTCTCTCTGCAAAAAATGCAGATATTATCACTATGTTCATATCCAACAGTGTAGGCAAAGAAGAGGATGATTATCAAGAAGAAATGCATGGAATTATTATAGGATCTTCATGGCTCTGAACCCAGTTCTGGTTTAAACAGAGTATTATGCAATATTCCGGCATTCAAATTACCAAAACTGCATTCTGTTGGTGTCCACATTAGGAGTGTGCATTTAACTCC